GGGCATGGGAAAGGGCCAGACCAACGAGCTGCAGAAGTATAAATCAAGAGGCAGCGCCCAGCCATTCATTCATTCCTGCGTGAGCCATGCGGAAGCGCTGCCACAGCGACTTGTGCAAGGAGGTCTGCAGTGAGCCCGAAGACGAAGTGGGCAGAGAGACGGAGCTTAGCCATAGCGATAGGGTAGAGGCGGCCATAGCCGCCATAGCTGTAGTTAGTGTTCAGTGTGTGTGTGTGTGAGTGTGAGTGCTCAGAGAGACGCGTGTGGGATATCCAGGGTGATCCACTGGATGCGAACAGAGAGTTGTATGGGCGCTATATCGCCATAGCCATTGGAAGTGAACTCGTATCTGGGTTGCCATATCTCTGAGTACTGAGTGGGCGCATGTCGCCAGTTTGCTGCGCTACTGTTTGCATGAATGTAAAGTGTGAATGAAAGCGAGTCTGATTGCATTGGTATCGGAGCTGGTACCCGCTGTTCCACGCGCTGCGTTGTGTGTCGCAGGGGATGATGCGCCATAGCTGAGGTGTCCGACGAGAGAAGAAGTCCGCCATAGCGGACCTGGAGGTTGAAGAAGCTGCCGCGTGCACCTGCAGAGAAGACCACGACGAAGAAGAAGACCGAGAGAGGAAGAGGGAGAGAGAGAGAGGAGAGAGATGAGCGATACAAGTTTGGTTGTCACTTACCTGTGAAGCGTGCCGTGCAGTTCCACGAAGAGAGAAGCGGCCATAGCCGCGGAGCTCGACCACAGAGAACGAAGGAGGCTGAGAGAGAAGGCGGAGGAGGAGACTGAGAAGGGAGAGAGAAGCCATAGCCGAGTAGGCGAAGGGAGAGACGATCAAAAAACGAGAAAGAAAAGAAAAGAGACAGCCGGGGTGCAAGGAGGCGAGGAAGTGAAGAGAAGAAGAAGGTTGGTGAGGGAAAGTGAAGCCGGCAGCCATAGCCGACCGGAGGAGTTGATCGGGAGAGTTGACCAGGCGTTGACCAGGCGTTGACCAGGCGTTGACCAGGCTTTGACCGGGCGTTGACCGGGGTTGACCGCAAGTTGACCGCAAGTTGACCGGAGGTGTTGACCGGCGTTGACCAGAGTTGACCGGAGGCTGACTGCAGCGTTGACTGAGCGTTGACCAAGACCGTTGACCACAATTTTGACCAAGCTGGCGCCGATATAATCTCGCCAAGCCTTAAGCCTATCCCTCGCCCTATGGATTTGCACACACCCTGTGGTACTTGCTGGGTCAAGTCTGTCTGTCTCTTCTTTCTGCATGGAGTCTCTTCTCTCTAGGTGTAGGAACCCTGCGGATGAAGGATGGATCCTCGTTGACCAAACCCCTGCCGGACTAAGTAGGGCTAAAGACTGTCTGACGACTCGACTGTCCCGGAGGACACGAACCCTCCCAAGGACCGGTACAGACCGACGGGCTGCTCGGTGTGGCACGGTAGGCCCAAAAAGCTGAGCTGTGGGTTGTACAACAGGCAAGGACCTGCTGATCGCGTCGTCCTGTTTGCGACGTTAAATAATTCCAGAGAGTTACGGGGGATCTCCTTAAATGCCTCCTGATCAGCAACAGGTCTAGTAGTGACAGCCTTAGAGTAGGTCTAGGCTAGAGACCCTAGTTGACAGGATCCCTGTCCGGATTCTGTGAGTCTTTAGATTGAGTCAGTCAGTTTGTCAGTCAGGGGTTAGAGTCTAAGTGGTGAGGTTTGGAACCGCTAACCGGGTTGTACACTAATCACCATGGTTGACACCCGTAGTGGGAAGAGCACTAGCCCCTATACCCAGGCTCAACAAGAGCATATGGCCGCCTTAGCGAAAGAGAATAAAGAGAGGAAAGAGCTCCTGAAGCAGGTGAAATTGAAAGCAATCGCAGAGGAGCAGGCGGCAAAAATGAAGAAGTTGGAGGAGGAGATGGAGGAGAAGAAAAAGGTTGCCAAGGAAGAAGCAGTAGCAGAAGAAGCAGAAGAGAGAAGACGCAGAGAAGAAAAAGGGGAGAGTAGTGGCCTGAAGAATGAGAATGCAGAGATGGAGAAAAAGATCAGCAAGTGGATAGCTAACTTATCGTTGGGGGAAGATGAGGAGGCACAGTTGTATGTGCCACAGGACGAGAAGGAGGCGTTCGCCAGGGCACTAGCAACGATTGAGGACCCCCTGGAACGACAGGAGGCAGAAGAGGAGAAGAAGTTGGAGAGGAAGTTGAGAATGAAGAGGGAGAAGAAGAGGAGGGAGGAAGTTAATCGGCTGACCGCAGAGGTGGAGAAGGTGAGAGCCTGTAGACAAGAAGTACAGGCGCAGACAGATGTTTCTGCCAAAATGGATAAGATGTTGGGGTACCTGGAGGTGTTGAGTGAGGCCTGGTTGGAGGAATGCCAAGCCAACTGGGGTCATGATGTGGCCCTGAGTGCCATGCGGTCAGGATTTCGAGAGTTTGCGTGCGACATGGTCACCCACGTTGGGTCCGAAGTCAGGCGGTTAAGAGATAACATGGGTAAGTTTTGCGAAGGCGCCATTGAGGGTGCCAAAGCCGTAGCCACCGTCGAGAGCGAGGCCAGACCCCGCAAGGACCCAGTTAAGCTTAAGTTCCCAGACGCGTACGGCGGGAAGCCTGAGGAGAATTTCGATAGCTGGGAGGCTAGCGTAAACAGTTATGTTTACTTACAACATATCGTACAGGACAATCAGGTCCTTGTAGCCTTCCAAGCCCTCAAGGAGGAAGCAGCTAGTTTTGCTAGGTCCCTCGCGCGCGCGGCCGGTTGCGAAAACAACATGGTCGCTTATTCCAAGGTCACCCCCCTTCCTCAATTCTTCAAGCTCCTCAGGGAGCGATTCGCTGATCTTCGCAGGGGCGTAAGAGCCTCTGACAAACTCCAAACCATCCACTCACGGCAGTGGAGGAGTGCCAAGGCACTCAAGGCCGTTATGGACGACCTGGTGGCCGTCCCGGACCATGGGGTGACTGAGTCCCAACTGGTCCAACTCTTCTATCATGCCATGCCAGAGCCCTTACGAGGGCATTTCTTTGACAAATCCCAACAGCCCACTATGACGTATGATGCGCTGAGTAGAGAAGTGGTGCTGTTCGAAGCAAAGTCAATGCCAGTTTCCACTTTCTGGCATAAGGACTTAGATAAGGGTAAGACGTGGAAAGGCCGTACCATCTCTGGCCAAGTCAGGGCCAAGGATCACATGATCCTTACATTGGAGGAAGGTGGTACTGACGAGGTCCCGTATAGTCAGATTGAGTGGGGCCTCGAGGAGGAGGACAGTAGCGTGGGACAGGGGAGGTCCTATGCTGCTGTCACGGCTGGAGGGAGGCCGCAAGGTAGAGGAGGAGGCCAGGGCCAAAGGGGCCAGGCCGTGGGAGGCCGAGGATCGGGCGTAGAGGGGGTTGGCGGTCAAGGGAACCGTCAAGCGGGAGGTAGGGGTCAAGGTCCCCCGCCGAATCGCCAAGGTCAGGAGGTTGGCAGGTCACCTCAAAGGTCAGGAGGTTGGCACCCAGGCTGGCCACAAGGCCGGCCCTGGGAAGATCTGGGCCTGGACCAGAAAATTTGGCAGCAGAGAATGGAGCAGGGGCAGTGCATATATTGTGGTGACCCTGCCCATATCATCAAATATTGTCCTAAATATAGACATGCCCGGTGGGCTGCCCAAGAGTCAAAAGGCAGCCGTCGGTAGGGGTCGCAGCTGCCCCTACTTCTAAGCCATGTGGGGAAGCGAGTGCGCGCGTAGAGAAAACTCCCACACCACATGAGCCTTGGACAGAGGTTGCAGGCCCGTGCCTAGTTAGTTGTCCAGAAGCTGCTTGTGTCAGCGTCTCTCTAGGCACGTCCCTCACAGGCGTGGCAGAAGAATTGAAGGAGAGGATGCCTGCCTGGGCCAAGATGAAGAAAGATAGCAAAGGGCAGCTAGTACTAGTAGATGTAGAGGTTTTTAGGAGTAGAGTTGGGGCCCTTATAGACTCAGGGGCAACCCGTAGTTATGTTAGCCACAAA